TGCCAAGTCCATAAACACGTGCATTTTTATATATTAAGCTAACCATAATATATTCCTAAAGGAGATTAAGCGAGCTCAATGTATAATTGTCGAGAATAGCCCAAGTTGGGCCAGCCATCGTCCTTGAGGCACACAGTTATAGCCCGTGGACAGTTATGCAATGCGTAGCGATATCCCGCCAACAGCGCCGCTGTCACGCACGAGCCGCGCTCCGTTTGGCGAGGATTTACCGACCTATACTAATATGTTTGTGAGACTGTCCATCTCTGTCAACAATCGATAACCGTCTCGTTCCCTGGAATTATGAAATTATTGTAAATAATTTTTAATAACGAATATATGTTTCGTTAAGTTTTTGTTAATTTAACGTTCATATTTCATGTTTGCATTGATATATTTTGACTGAGTAAAATCAAAATTGTTGTACTCGACACATCATATGTATAAAGTTAAGCATATAACACACATTCCCACGTATCACAGAACCGGGTAGTTATGTTGTTAAAATTGTGTTCATCATAACATAGCTAATCCAACTTTATACGAGTTCTAAAAACAGTAGGTAAACAATGGCCTAACTTATAATAGTGTGTTCGATGCAATTGGCAGCTAATTTGTAGCACAACCAACGTTGCATTGTGACGATTTTTAAAATTCCTTCTTTTTTTTTTGTTTGAAAATTACTTTCGTGTGACGTACGTTTTAATTTAAGTATTCTGATTGCTGTTCAAGTAAAAGTTAATAAGCATTGTTTTCCTAAATTACTTGTGGCCCATAATGATGTATAGAATTATTAGTTTTAAAGCATTACCGAATTTACTTCAACCATAAAACGTATTGACAGCGTAAATTTCAGAAGTACCATAAAGTTCTTATATTAAGAGAAGTCGTAGAATCTTGGAAGGTGCGATTATTATATTTCCATGAGAATTTCGCAATCCCTGGCCACGTCCGTCCGTGAAGTAATAAAATTCTAGTTGTGTCATAATATTCATATGTGATGAACTCGTGATATTAAAGTTAGTGATTCACTTCGAAGTTTTATATTAAAATTTTAGTTTTCATTAAAAATATTGATGTTATAAATCAATAAATAGCATAATATGAAATTATACTGAGTAAAAGCTCATAGAGCAGTCACGTCAAACTTAATTTTGCTATGAAAACGAATAAATGATGCGCTATCTGACGATTCACAGTCAACTAATATGTGTGATTCCAATTACTATTGCTATTGGACAGAATAAACAAACACACATTTATACTAACAATTTAACCTTAACATTTCGCCTTCGTCTTTGTAAGACTAGATTTTATAGCAAGGTTTTGCTAACTATAACAAAACGCTGAAGGTTGTATACTGAAAACTAAAAATAAATTGTTTCTTATCCCACATACAACCTCTATAGTATTAAATAAATAGTCATACAAAAATCTAAAACTCATTTTGGATGTTATATTAGATTGAGTATTGATATCAATAAAATGTTTATAGTACGCCCGATGATCGACTAATTCAATAAAGATAGCTCTACTTTGATATGACGAACGGTTATTTTGTTTTTGCGATTCATATTAATTTTATAAATAATTAATAAAGCATATTTCGTTCTATAAGTGCCGACAGATGGAAATGCACTCGGCAAATTGAGTGAAAACCGCAATCGGGAAAAGGCTAAATACCTGCTAATGATGGTTCGATTGAAGCTTTTAACTTTATTGGAGCTAATATAAAAAGAATGTGACAAAATATTAATTGCGGTCGTGATAATAGGAATACGTTTTAATGCAAAAAAATATAATATCGAAGTACAGGGAATTCATTAAGGGGATAATGTTATTGATAATCTGCAGCTATAAATGAAGGATGAATGAAAAATTTTATTTATTTGTTAATCTATTGTAGACTTTTTCTAACATATGTACGGATAAACCTACATCAAAATTAAATGTGATATGAATAATATTTTAGTTATGAAACTCAAATTTTTAATTTTAATATTTAGGAAAAATAAATAAAAATATATTTTCTAATACAACAACTAATAATGAGATTGAGATTAATTAATTAAACAGAACGCATAATTTATACTGAAAAAAATTAATTGTATGTAAAAAAAAAACACCATAGAATTAAAGAAGCTTATGAGTAATAGTTTTTATTGGATGAAAATATTAAAAGTATCTTAAAATATTATAAACAGTTAATTATTTCATTGTATAATTGTTTCTCTCTATTTACGTTTGAAAGTTCAAAAATAATAATTGAATCTGTAGCCACGCTTGAAACCTAAAACGTATTAAAAATAGCAAAACGGAGTGTAAGCGACCGGCAATATTGCGGTAGTGATTTTAAAATTAACTTAATCACAAACAGAAAGTCTTATTATCATCAATATAACACAAAATGCTTATACACATACAATATTATATAGAGGTGAAAATGACAAACTAATATATGACTTAAACATATGAGCAATCACTTAAATAATCTTTTAATTAATTCCTTAAAAGCTGCTTTAATTTTTTATACAAATAAATAAATATATGTTATCCTAATACATTTTCTTTATTTGATCAAAACGTATGATATAATTTATGAGTTATAATAAATTGCTATAAAACTAAAGTACGACGTCATAATGTATCTATCAATTTTAATTAGTATAAAACCTCCGTTCCTTATTTCAATGATGTACATTTGTATTTTAAATTTAAGATTTATTATTAAACAAAGAGCATGCAAACGATTTTCAAAATAGATAATTTACTTCTCCGTTGATATTAATAAATATTTTCATTGTTTAGGTATGCAATGTCTGTTTCTAAACATTCAAATGTTTTTTTTAATATACACGTGATCACACTTTGAAAACTTTCATAATAAAAAAATCAATGATACCGTTTTTAATACGAAGTCTTTGTGAAAAAACATTGTTATTAGGATCCAATCTCATTATAATATAAGCACTTCATAAAAATATCCTTTTCGCTCTTTCTGTCGCAATTTCCGCATAAGTGTGTCTCATGAATTTAGACATAAAATATTCCATAAAGGAAGCACAAAATCTGTCACGAAAATACTTACGCTTAAACAAAGTAAAACTGTGAAGCAAAGTTCGGCCAGGTTTCTATGACGAAACAAGTGAGTTTGAAAACAAAAACTATTAAGGCTGATTCTCACGGCTCGCTGAATTGTAGGTGAGATTCGTTGGATAATAATTTTCATTTGCCGCTTTAATCCACGTAAACCTAAACCTTTAACCAGTTTATAGAGGGTAGTACCAGTTTAGTATAGATTTATATATAGGCGACACTTAAAAATATTATACATAGTTATTATTTTATTGTAGCATTATAGTGAAAATGTATTTCTAGTTTATTTTTTTTCTATATTTGACAAACAAGGGACAAAACAATTAAAAGTGGTCATGTCGGCATCGAAATTAAGCCTTGCGGCGAATCCGCATCCGTCGTAATAAAACACATGCAAAGTTTTTCTTTGCTAAGCGAGCAGTGGTCGTAGCAAACGGAAGCGAAGCAACAGGCTTGATTAAAACATGTGTTTACAGAACGCACGTCCTCTCTGTTTAAATGCAATAATATGAACGACTCCATAACATTGCTATCATTGCTCTACTTTGATGCTGTTTTAGAATATGTTTGTTGATTCACCCTCTACCCTCTACCGTACAGTATGAACAGTAATATCATTTTAATAATCTTAAGTGCTTATTTTGCTGTAAATCTATGTAGAACTAGATTTTAATGAATAGGATAATGAAAAATGTTTCATTTCGGTATGAGCATCCACTTACGTTAACTGAATTTGCCGACGTCATAAAAATTATTATTACTAGAACTTCGTTGTGTATTCAGTGACTAGGAAAAATAAAAGTGTTTGTAATTAACTTATACGTTAACAGCTAAATCAATTAGCGAGGTGTAGACTTTCCTCTTCTCGTTTACTCGTTTGCAGCTTTCGAGGAATGCTTACACTTCTTTGATCGTTTCCTATCTATTACCTATTTGCATTCCTAATCAAGCACATTTTAATAGTCTTTACATTAGAACATTCCTTCATCAATTTGATTGCTAGTTTCTCGTTGCACGTAACATACATGTCAGCACATTTTACGTCTGTAAATTATAGTTTTACGATCGAAAATCATTTTTATGTTTTCCCAAGAATTTAATATGACGCTAGCTATGCTCTGCACATTCGCTCTTTTATTGCGCTGTAATTTTATTGTTTTCTCAATTTTTATTAACTATCAACTACTACCAACTTGGCATTAAAATTCTGTCCTTCTATAATCAATTCAAATAATTTGTAAACTTTATTCGTTTTATTCATGAATAATATGCCATAAAAGTACCTAGTAAGATTCTATAAATTGTGTGTTGCAAAACTAAAGGGAACTTTTTTTACTCTTCAAAGGAGTTAACAGTTTTTAAAACAGCGCGGCGGTTAATTCTTTTCTTATACCTCACTATGCTTTTTCACCGTCTATTAAAATTTCATACTAAGCCCTGAAGCGCGATGCTTTTATTTCCTTTATGATCAGAAGCTAGATAATTACTTACAAATAACAAATGAGAATGTTTGTATAACAATTATTAAAATTTTATATATCATTGAAGTAAGCATTTATCTAATCTTTTCTAAAAGAATTATTAAACTGTACAAACATCTACAGTGTCTCGCATAAGACTTTGTATTTAATTTTATAAGTTTTGGGTTAAGATTAATTTAGCTTTTAATTATTTATTTTTACTTTTTTATGTTATGGCTTAATTCTCGTTGGAAATTCTAATTACTTTAAGTATAGGTTTTGTTAAAAACGGAGTTATTTAGAGTGTATTGTGTCTTAGCAACGGTATCTTAGCAAATAATATTAGTCCGCCATAATGTTAATCAATGTTTTATAGTGTGTACGTAGTATTGTATAAAAGTTTTTTTTGTTTTAAAATAGTTATTTTTCATTAACAACAGTAAAATGGATGTGGAAAGGACAATAGGTATTTCTCCAAACTCAGAGTGTTTAAAGGGAACTGTATCGTGCCAATGTGAATTAGGTCGAGAGAAATTGCTAACCGCTCCGCCTTACAAACGTAACTCATCTCCGATTGAAGATGATATAAAATCACGTCTACAAACAGCACCGTGTGCAAGAGAACTCGAACAATATAAATGCCCAGTCAGCCATATTCCAGTGAATTTCAAATCGCCTCTGCACCCTAACGAAGTGTTTAACAAAGTCTTCCCGTCAAATACCCCAATTAAACTAGTTAAACGCAAATTAGCCAAACTATTATCCATTTCAAATAGCAATCTTTTATTAACCAAAAATAGGAACGTATTAAAAGATACAAGCCTTCTTTCTGAACTAAAAACTGATGCTTTAGGAAATCTTTTTATAGATGTTTTTACTAAAGATTCAGAAGATTTTTCTCTATCATCTATACCCAAAGAGTCATACGTTCACGAACTTTTACAAGCAATGATGCCAAAAAAGAAGACTATGCCATTTATTGCGATTAAATTTAGTGTACATAATCAAAACAACGCATTCACGCGGTCGTACCACTCAATAATGAGAGTTCATGAGGTGAAGAAAAATTTAGCTGGTATATTTCAAACAGCTCCCGATAATATTGTAATACTAAGACAAAATCGTCCCTTAAAAGATCGCATGGCACTTATGGACCTAGATTATGATAAATATGGCATCGTTGAAGTGGATTTATTTACTAAAAACAACGAAACTCTTAATCTAGAAAAACTTTACAAAGAATTACCAATGACTGACGTGTTGACTGTAACCGTTCCATTCGGGAGCACACTTAAACATATAAACGTTGAAGTATTTTCAGAACCGATGCGTAAACCCTTTTTAGGTGGTTACCGAAATGTACACACAGGTATGCTATAGATTTATTTAGGTCAGGTTTTATTTTATCATTTTGGGTATATTAAAAACCTACCTGTATTTCTCTATATTGACTATATGTTTTTGAATAATGATACTTAAGATGAAATAACTTAACTAAGTTTCTATTTTATCATGTTCTTCTACTTATTGTATATAAGTGCACAACAGTTGTTAAACCATAAACAGCATATATTAAACGTTTCGGTTTAAAATTTTAGACTACGTAATATATGAGCATTTAGAAATATTTTTCAATGGATTATTTTATCATATTCCAGGTATTGTTTATCATCACGCCTACACGCAGACTCCTCAAAAACCTGAAAAATTGCCGCCGGAAAAGAAAAACTGTAGAGACACCCAAACGGCTGAAATGCGAGAGAAAATATATGTGAGTTTATTAAGTAGGAGGTATGGAACAAAACTGAGGATTAAAATTATAAAGAATGTTAAATAGTTTAGTAAAAAAATTTAACTAGACAAAAAATATTTGTGAATTTATAAAATTTATTAGGTTTAACTCTAAATTAGTTAATATTACGTAATTTGGTAATTACGTAATACTGAACAAAATGCAAGAGCGTCTGGTTTTGTCTTTCTTTTCGGAAAAATGTGACTCAATACCTTTTCTGCTTCTTATCTATGTTTTACTCAGGCTTACTAGTTTTTACGTTTAAAAATATTCTTTTTGTTTGTTTAATTAAGTCTTTCGTTTATTTAAACATAATTAAGCCCTTCTTCTATTGAAATACACCCGTTTGCTACAAGAATTAATATTGTTGCTATAGATTTTGTGTAATTTTAATGCATTTTCCGGTTCTAGTGTAAATACTATTTCAAAGCGTCCTAAGCCTTCACTTGCTTTTGAAGCTTAATGTTAGTAACTCTAACGACGTTCTAAAGTTGTTCTTGTTATATTTTATAATCTTGAAGGTCTTGGAAATGTTATTCTTCCGTATTTACAACACTTACGGATTTACTTAGAAATTTCTCTTCAATTTATTCTTTGAAATTTTAAGTTTATAATTTTCACCCAACACATAACTTTGAAATACTATAGCGTAGTAAAATGAAGAATAAAGAAAACAAAAGGTGCATACAAGCATAAAAGGTGCATACTTCTAAATGCTAATAATGCGAACCGCTATTAACGCTTAGCAGCTTAGATTAAATCATTATCCAGAATATATCCAATGTAATATTGTATCAGTACCTTATGTTTTTACAGGTACATTTTGTATATAAAAAAACACAATTCATTGACGAAAAATACACTTTATTATGCAGTAGGTATAATGGTTGATTTGTTGATTTTAAAATTGTTGATTGTTGACAAATTACTTTAAATATAATTAAAGAGCTTTAAAATCGTATATGTCTGGGCAAAAAATATATGTATATTCTAAATTTGAGAAGGATTTAAATCTTAACCTCGTTGGTGTTACGTTCGCACGATCGAGTTCGAACCATATCTAGCAATTTAAACAATCTCCAGAGAGGCGATTTTTATATAACATCGAATTTTTATTATGAAGAGGCCTTTACAGCTGTATGTGGTATACAATGATAGCATTTTTCTGAGATTTAAGACGAATAATTGAGATTTTAACAATGTCTAAGTACTATAACAAGTTAGGAATGATTAGATCTTTTAGAATATTATAAAAGATAAGTTAAAAACTAAAGATGAATTTCCTTCGGACTGCAATTGTCGTCAACAATAAATATGTAAGTACATACATTTATATGAAATGCTCATAGTATATTACTTTTCAGGACACCAATTACAGCCGAGCTACTCAAATGCAAACAGTACACGCTTATATACCAAACGTAACAGACAGAATTATTGTACCGAAACCTTATGAGACTTACGAGGAAATGATCGCAAGACTTAATCACGACCACTACGCTGCAGTTATACAACGAGCGTTTAAACATTATCAGTTTAGACAAAAGGTTAAGAGATGGCTTCGGGAATGCATGTGAGTTTTCATCAGTAAAAATCCGTATTAAATGTTTCGTTGTTAATTATGGTAGCATAGTAAAAAGTAGTTCAACCTCTATCTTTTTTTACGACTCTGTAATCTTGTAAAATGTTGATGAAAGCTATTGATTTGTAAACTAAATTATAATATTTACAAGTTTTTTAAACCTTTACGCACAATGCGTACAATTCAATTGACTACATCGTTTCAAAAACATGAACTTATTTCAGGGAAAGGATAGCTAGAATGGAAGAAGAGCGGAGACGGGAACGTGAAGCAATGGAAAGAAGACTTAAAAGAGATTTGGTTACTAGGACGTTTCCAAAAACCAGAGAAGACTTTGACCAACTTTACGCAATGGTAAATAAGAAATATAAATTACATATTGACATCTAATACTCAGTCATAATAATTATATTCAATAATTTATTTAATAAAATGACATATGTAGATATAGGAGGAAGGTACATACCAATAAACTTTTTATACTCAAACTGAATATAAAAGGGTCTACTTCACATTCAAATACCCTTGCAAAAGAAGGTTACGTTGCTATATTATATCTACATACTTATATTATGTACAAGCCTACAAACTATCAGGCCTCGGCCTCGAATTTTGCGGGCAGCGGAGCGGCAGCGGGAGCGGCAGGATCTTACGCGTATAATCAAATGGACCGACCCTCGAATACAGCGGTGCCCGCTGCCCGCTAGTTTGGAGAACAGTATGCGTTTCCGTGCCGCCGCCGCCGCCGCTCCGCTGCCCGCAAAATTCGAGGCCGAGGCCTTATGAGTCACCGGTGGGGTTAATTAAAACTGATGATTTTATACTTTTGTTTATTGAATTTAAATGACTTTGGAAAATATTATTTAAAAAAATTGGTAAATATTCATAAATTTGAATGAAAGTGATGTCCTTAAACAATAAGAACGTTTAATATGATTATTAAGTACACAAATTGTTTTAAAGTAGGTACTTTGTGTTGATTCAAATTCCTTTTACGAATTTCTAACAGTAGGTACTCATGTCTGTTTCTTGTGCAAATAATGCATCAATTCATGTTTGTTACAGTAAACAATTAAAAATTTACTTAAAATCCGCTTTGCATGGGTATTAAAAAAAGATAGGCGCTTTACAGGCCTTAATTTAAGAACGTAACTAACTGAGGTTTTAGATTAAGGCAACAACAAGAAAAATACATTAAAATATTTCAACGTGGGGCCTGGGGATCGTTGAAACCCCTAACTATGAAATATGTATACTTTCTTGAAATATATCTTCTAATTTTTTAATAATTCTCGCCAAGGGTTTATAGTTTCCCGTATCTATCAAGGGTTTATGGTGTCATCGACTTATCTAGTTATTGGAATTTATATGTTCGTTGTCAAAGTTCGAGAAAAATTAATGAATCAATAAATCTCAGAAAATTTTTACTTATCTAAGGAATAAAATACTAAATTACTTATTTTTACATTCGTGTTTATTGCTTGTAAGAAGACTACAAAATGTTTTTTACTATCAATTAATATCTACACCTACCATATAACAATCAAACTAGTTGACCTTATTTACTTGCCATTATGAAGTATAAGTATAGATATTTAATTTTTCAGGTCGATCGCTGGAAACATGCAGAAATAGCCAGAATATCACAGTTGCATTCCAAGGGTCCAAAAATTGCAGAATTTACACTTTTACTAGATAAAGAGGTTGAACTTCTGCGCTGTATTGAAGCATATCGAGTTAAAGTAAAAGAGGACAGTCGTAAAATTAAAGAAAAACAATTCTTAGAAGAAATATCGAAACCTGTAGCGTGGTATGGACGTGACAGAAAGCTTATTACTATGGACACTGTAGAGATACAAAAGGCAAGGAAATTGAAGGAATTGTATAATTCATTTATAAGAGATGACGTTGAGGTTAAGGAACGAATAGAACTTCTCGTAAATATGAAATTCGCTCTTCAAGAATTCCGTCATCCTTTAGCTGAAGAGACCATAACACTTTTAGACCGCGAATGTGACCTGCTTGTGAGACGATGCGACAATCAACAATTAGAATTTTTAAGGCGACGAGTAGCAGCATGTGTGTTTCAACTGATAAAAACGTCCGAATTAAACTCTGGCGTAACAAAATGTAAAGAGCTCAGAGATTATAGAAAGACCGAAAACAGTAGATTACATTTCTGCGAAATGTGTCACCAGGTTAAAATTAATACAGACTTTCCTTTGAACGCTAAGATGTCGGGTTTCACAGTATGCACATCGTGTTCTTGGAAAGATGTGTCAGAACGTTGTTGGATCGACATGACCCCGTACAAATTTATTCTAAGAGCCGTCCAACGTGATGAAAGGAAAAGAAAATGTTGGGGTTCTTTGGCTTTCGTTCTTCAGGAAAAGGATATATTTTTCATAGTAGAAAAGCTTTGGCATTCGCATTCAGCGATAAGTGAGTGTACAGATATGAGCGAGTTGCGGCTCTGTCGTTGGCGTGTCAACGAAGATTGGTCGCCTTGGAATTGCTTTCTTGTTACAGTACAAGAAATGAAAGCGCACTGTAAATTAGAAGACCCCGAGGCAGTTTATGACGAAGAGTTAGTCCAAAAAGTCCTAAATAAACACAAACTAGCTAAGGCTAACTTTGAGCAACTTTTAGCTGTAAATAAAAGATTTACAGAGAGCGGTGATTGGGCTGGTATTCGCGCACCCGCTATAGTTAGAGCTAATGGTGTAGATCGAATATGAGGTTTTAGTTAATATTAAATAAAAATCATGGTTGAATTTACTTTAGCGATGTGAAAATTTTGTGGCAATAATTGTTATTGTAATATTATTAGACATCGATATAAACGATTCGTTAATTAGATCAATAGTCGTTTTATTTCATGACAGTTAACTTTTTCAAAGCACTTAACTCTTAACTATGGCAAAAATTATCCAAGAATATTCTTTTTCAAAACTTATTGAAATGTTAAATCAGGGATATGGATAAAATAAATATTGCCACATTAATAATTATATCTTCACAAAATATAGTTTTAATGCATAAAAAAAGGAATATCTTTATTTTTAATCAGTCACGGGAAAAGGACAAACAAGAGATACAATAGTTACATCGTCCTCCTTTTAATATAATTACATGTAATACTTTATAACATAATTACACAATACATTTACAATAATTTCTTCAGCATATCAAACTCTTTTGATTATCTAAAAACAACATTATACGGTAATGGCTATAAGACCACGTGAAAAGATATTCTTTCAACGAGAATGCACAAATCTTCGTACATCTAATAATAAATTACGTAAATATAATTAAGGCAATATGAATTATACTGTACAACGAAAATAACCCAGTCTATAAAGAAAAAATGTTTTACAAAAAGACAAAAAAAAAACACTAGGATCTATGCCGAAGGTCATGTGGGTAAAGCTAAATAAATTCTTAAATATTAAGTAAAGCTGTCACAAACTAAAGTTTCAACTAATGAAAACCTTAACATATTAAGACAATACACTAAATAATATATACTAATAACCACTGATTTAATAAAGTTAAAAATAATATTGAGCTCCGAATATTAACATGATGGTATGGTAAATACTTTATAGTTACAAACAATAGTCATTTCTCTAAAAACACATTTGCAGTGACAGAATCCTAATATTGCATATTACTTATCAATCAATCACTAAAATTGTTTCAAAATAACAGTAATAAGTTAATATGGCTGGCTTTGAATGGTAACTAAGCAATATTAAATATGAGCTTTAAATATATTTGGATTTCTTTTAGTTTCTAGAAGTTTCCATAAAATCGAAAAGAGAATAAGTGTGAAGTCAAATAATTCTTCTGAAGCCTCCATAGATAAAATCACTCTCCTTTTAAAAACTTCTAAATATTATTGCACCTACACCTAAGTGCAATATTAAAAAAAAAATGTGTGTGCATCAAATATATTGTATAAAGAGCAATATAAATGTGAAATTGAAAATGTATTTAATCTTTAAATGTGTTTAAAATGAGCAGAAAACAACTTCCTTTACTTTATTTCAATGTCAATCTTTTACTTGAATACTGAAATTAATGGTTTAGTCTAAATTATATCTGTGTTCATTTCAGTGGCAAACTGCTAACAATTTTAACCTAGTGGTAGCTATTTCAAGTAATAGATTACGGAGACCAGTTGTTTTGTTCGTCATTTATATTAAAATGTATCTTAAAACAATCATTTAACACTGTAATATTCTACAAAAATTCTTGGAAATGATTTTAAAATGAATTAATCTATATCAAGTCCAACATAATATTGTCCTATATATATTAAGCATAAACCATCTCTCATGTAGCAACTAACTTAGTGTTTGTACATTTAGCATGAACAATTTGATCATCTTTCAACAGACAAGCCAACGATCGTTAGAATCTCAATTCGCATACAAATAACTCTTAATGATCTAATTAAATTAACATAAAAACCAAAAGAATTTTTACTAGCTAATAATTTATTTACAATAAAAATTTGTGCCTCTTCAGAACAATACTTGATAATTTGTAAATTCTCAAGAAACATATACAAAGTGCAGACAATATTCACATAAAAGTTTTAACCTATACACTTATTTGACTATTTTTGCACTTTCATATTTCCAGTTCAGGCTTAAACTCTTAATATCTCAATTTGATTAAGATTTTATAACTCGTCCTCGTCCCTAACTACACAACGGCCAAATATATTTACATTAATTGTATAGAAGGAAGAAATATTGTTACAGAAGGTTGAGGTACTCTAGGGCGATATAACGCACGTATAATTTAATATAATTTACACGGGTATTACATTCACGTCCACGAGGATATTTTTTTAATTATTTACACGTTTTTTTAAGTCACGATCAGATGATATTTACCAGTTGTGCGGTCAAAATTAATAAAATGATACAAGACGTCACATTAAATAAAATTAATAATATAACAATTTCATTCAAAAAATTTTTCTCACACTCACATTACACACATACTGTGTCTATGAAAGAAATGATAATTGAATTTATATGAAAAATTATATACCCAGAACATGTAAATCCTATTTTTTATCAGTCGTTTAATGGTAGCCGTCAATTTCCATAGAGTTGGACATTCTATCGGAACTAGAAGTGCTATTTACGCTATAATTCATGGAATAATTTAAATTACTAAGCGACATATCTTGTGGTACATCAGACGGTGAGGTTTGATAGTAGGGGTAAGAATTAGTGTACGGAGCTGCGGCTGTTTCTTGTATATTTTCTTTATCACTCGCCTCCATAAACTGTATAATACGCTGCGTTGATTTCACATGAGCCACTATCGCCGCTTCAGCCTGGAATAAGAAAAAATATATATTTCATATAAAAATATTTACTTAATATCTTAAACTACTTTTAACCCGCGTCTATGTCTGTATGATATTCGGAATTGGTCTCAAAGAGAAATGTGTAAAGTAAATTAAGACAGTATGTGTGGAAAATAACAGACAACGACATCTATAATGTGTTAGGTGACTTCAAGACATTTTTTTTTTGGAGTGAATAAATGTGATTGTAATTATTTAGTTTTATTATTAAAAGTAATTTTTCAATAAAACAGTAATTAAATAAATTATTAGGTATTAAAAGTATGATACAAGAGTAGTTTAGTTTATACTTCAATAACTATAATATTATATTTATTTCACTAAACCTTATTTTATCTAAGGTGATGTAATGTTTCCCCATGAGAATCATAATTTATACCTAGCTAAAACTTACATAAAAAATATATATATAAAAATTATCCTCTCAAAAACTATTATTCCTTTTCTTTTCATATTAAGCCCTCTCTGAATCTGTTATTACATGTATATCTAAACATAATTTACAACATTTACTTTCACATAAACATTTGGAGTCTTTTAAATATTGTTATTAATAACTATTTCGTGGAAAAAACACTTAATTAAAACTAATAATTTATCAGTCTTTTGTCTCTACATTCAAACAGTTTCTTAACAAAAAGTTAACACAGGGGAAAGCCATTAAATGAAATGGGCTCAAGATAGATCTTACATCTCATTTAAATTGGAGGGATTATAATTCAAAATTTAATGATAATTTTCATAAACAAAAATTTATATGTACTTCAAAAAATACATTCACTTTAAGTGAAACTAATATTATTCGGATTACTACGCGTATTTAATTATTTTAAAACTAGATATTCAAAATGTTTCGGTTACTTTTCAGCAACCGTAATCAAAGGCAGACGAGATGTGAATGTCCAACTATTTTTGCTTTTTAAATTTAAATAAATGAATTTTAACACCTCTTAAAGTTGTATCAATGTAGTACTTTCAGAAATTTATTTAATCATACACATTAAATCTCACCAATTATTTGCTACTCATACACTTATCCCCACCATAGTTTGGAAACGTATTATGTATAAATTTTATCAAGTACACATGAATGTAATTTTTATCTCTACCGCCCTGTGCTTATTTGAGTCATTAAACTTGAATTTTGTAAAACATATGTATATATATACATAAAAAAATATAAATCTTATATATAAAATTCTCGTGTCACAATGTTCGTTCGCGCACTCCTCCGAAACGGCTTGACCGATTCTCATGAAATTTTGTGAGCATATTGAGTAGGTCTGAGAATCGGTTATCTATTTTTCATACCCCTGAGTGATAAAGGTTGTTCACCCTTAAATGACAATTTTTTTTTGACGTATTTTTTGTTTCTTTTTTTCTTCTTTTGTGCCATAAAAAATACATACAACCCTAGACTTTTACTCTTTTATGACCAAACCCTATTTGTTTTCCGGGTCGGCTAGTAAATAAATATAAAGGTAACTCACACTGGCGGTTAGTGTTAGGAAGTCGAAGTATTTCCTTAGTGTAGGCAGCATAGGTTCATATCTCGGTACTTTAGTTCTAACAGCTAAAGCGTGTGCAGGGGCCGCAACCGCCATATTGCCTAAAAGCAAGGCAAGATACGCGCCAACCATAGTATGCTCCATGTGTGTACCCGCACGAGCTAACACTGGAAAATAAATAATATAATATTAATATATTAATTAGATATTAAGACAATTTTGATAAAGAGTAAAATGTTTAAGAACTTTGCAAGATAAATAAGATTCAAATTAAAAAGGCTTGTGAATCGGTGTTGGTTTTTGTCATCAAGGACTATGAAATTTCACACTTACAAAGGAGTTAAATGGTTAGTATTGTTATTATGTCTGATTTTGTGAATGAGAAAATTACATATTATTATAACACATACAGCGTTTTAAGCTGTACCATTTTGCAAACATTACTATGTTTCATAATACAATACCACCAAATTAATAAACGGATATATTATATTTATATAACTCAGATCAAATTTTATTGAAAGCTTGCATTAGCTCATATCAAAGAAAACGTGGTAAGTTTAGTTAGGTAGTTTTAATATAATAACTTTTATTAGTAATTCTATGTAGAAGAAATCTTCTTTCCATAATATTTTATGTTTATTGGTAACTTTTTTTAACATTATGAAATATTTACGTTATTGCATCATGATAAAGATGGTTTGCGTCATAAATATGAGTATGTAAGACCATACTAAAGCCTCACCTTTAATACCTTAATTCAAATATTAATGATCTTTTTTTGTCATTTAACTAAGATTTAACATTAAATTTTCTGTACTGGTAACTAAGAATTTAAGTACAACTTACATGAACTTTACAATATGATATACAGGGTGACTGGTGAATTACTATCAATATTTAAAGAGAATACTCGGTACATGATTCTCATTCGAATTATGTAAAAAAAATAGGTACTTAATTTTTGACCAAATTTCCGTATAAATAAATAAAGTGTGGACACGTTCCAAGTGTTCCAAGTGTGGACGCGTGCGGCGGCGTGATGTTGTATCAGCGTGTGTGTGTGTATACATAATCTGTAGGGTGTTCACACGATGCGTAATTAATTACGTAACTTTTGGTTAACTTTACTTAGAAGTTTATTAATATTTATGTTATATTAATTTTTATTTTGTCATATATGATCGTCAAATATCACGTCCTCAAGTATCGATAGTAATTCACCAGTCACCCTGTATAGTCATTTATAATTTGGATCTTTTTTTTATCATATTTATATATTTTACAGAACATATTATAATGACTATTTATGTACAAAATAGTATTCTTTAAAATTAAACTTACATTTTGCTACTGTTTCTTCGATGTCATCTTGCGATTGCTTCTTTTTGTCATTATCTGATTTGTCATCTTTTTCACCGTCTAATAACGCATCAGTATTTTCTTCAGCCATCCTATATAAAAATTATAAGTCATATTAAAAACATATAAATTATCTAAGTATATTAAACTCAATGAATATATAATAATTATAAATTACCTGGCTAGTTCCACTCTCTTGTAGAATAAGTCAACAATAAGATCCAGTGCGGACGCGCTTCTTGATATTATGTCATGTTCATTGTCAATTCTAATGCGAACGTTTAGCAGCCTTTGTGTGTTAATATCGTTGTTTTGTACTAGATTTATTAACAGCATTAGTACCTAAAAATATTTAAGAAAACATATATACTAAAAAGTATAATAAAAATCACCGTTTTTGGAAAATAAAAAAACAATTTGTGGAAAATTTAAACTTCTCAAAACAATATTTCTGTGAGAATGACAATAAAATTCCTTTAGTTCAGATATCGTTGACACGATAGATTATAAGTATTGCACTAAGGCGAATCCATTCATTAAGCCAATGATATTAAATAATGAGACAATTCTTAACTCTTCAAAGGAACATAGACTAAATTTGTAAACACCAATACATATTTGTAATATTGATAATCTTCCAAAGACTTGATAAACTTAAATTCAACGTCATTTTATCATCGCATTCTCATAGGTTTTCTAAAATTTTATCTACTTCATTATATGAGTATTGATTCATCATAAAATTTTCTTCCGCCTGAGATTTTCGTTGAAAATCATTTTCATATGGGGATTTTGAAATGTTCCATGTAATTTGACATTTATGGTAGAAAGGTCAAAAACGTTTAAAACAAATTGTCTTTATGTTTTAAAATCTTCTTGAGTATAAATAAAAAAACATGTGACACTTACACAAACACTGAATTCAAAGTTCTTGTCATCTGGTATAAAATTGCCTTGATTGTTAAGCATTATTAAACATATATCCATCACTGATGCCTGTTCTCCCACCACTTGCGCTCCTAGAGCTGATGCTGAAACAATAAAAAATATGTCATATAATATACGTAGATATTGTGTCAATAGGAATTCAGAAATTTTGTACATGGTTATCGAAACAATTAGTTTTGGCAAAGATAATATACTATTGATTGCAATGATCAACATCTCAAGAATTATTTATGGTTCTTAGCTTAACAATTTAACCGTAAACGTTATACAATTTTTATAGCTTCGATATATCCTTTGGATGAAATATTTTAATTGTAACACCAAAAAAAACTATTTATTTCCATACAAAAAACGGCGTCCAATAATCTTAACAAAATTATTTTCGTACAAAAGTGATATGAATGTGTCTACAGTAAAACAAAACATTCGATAATCTATAAAAAAATATATAAATAATAAATTTTTAGTGTATTAAATAAATCCCTATTAATTATTATTATTATAAATGCGAAGCTAACTCTGTCTGTATGTCTGTTACGCTTTCACGCCTAAACCACAAAACTGATTTTATTGAAATTTGTTACAGAGATAGAGTTGACGTGGAGAAAGAACATAGGATAGTTTTTATCCCAAACTTTTGAAAGGTTCTCTTGGAGACGCGATATAACCGAACTCCATGCGGGTGAAGCTGCGGGCAGAAAGCTAGTACATACTAGCTTATATACATATACTAGGAGTGCCGGCGAACTTCGTATCGCCCTATAATCAAGAAATATCTGTTACGTTTTTTTATTTATATTTTTGGAGTTTACCTATTAAAGCCATAAATGATTGACATATTAGTTAGTTGTCAAATCTAATGTCAAAAAAAAAGTTTGTATCAGCAACAACTAATAAATTAAAAATTAATTAAAAAAACGTTGTCCAGCGGACAAAATTGTGAATCTAAACCATTCCCAGATCCCCTTGAACACACACAATAAATTTCATCAAAATCGGTTCCGTCGTTTGAAAGAAGTTCAGTGACATACACACTCACAGAAGAATTATATATATAAAGATATACTCACAGGCGATGCCGAAGGAATGTGATAGGTTAACGAGAACCTTAACAGCCGGTAAAGCCGCGTCTAACAAAGGCGGGCGTAGTTCGGGCAACGCGCGGGCGTCTGAAGCGCAGCGACGAAGCAACGAACAGAGTGTGCCCGCCGCGCCCAACGACCCTGATACTAGGTGATGCTGGTTGGCTTCGTTCTGCTGAGTCACCTGCAACACGGATTAATATTTTTATTTTTTTTAATTTACGATTAACCTGCATGGAGGTTTAATGTTTTTAAAAAAGGGAGGAGTTCCAAATTCTTCTACTCAGTCGGTATCACTCTTGATGACCACCACTCTGGGTCATCAATTTGGGTAGTGGTGGCTCGCGAGACAATTCGACGCCATTCCTCTCGTATCAAAATTATTATTTTACATTTTTTTTTTAATAAACTCAAAACAACTCTTTTTGTTAACAAGTCTTTTGTATATTGTCATTTATAATTTTTAAATAAAGAATAAATTAGGATAAAAATTATTAAAGATTGATTACACTGTTTTAACACATTTTTTTTATATTCCTCAAATCAGAACTAATTTTAATCACAAGATTATAGAGACTGTTACAAAATTAGGTGCCATATTTTATTTGTGCCTAATCTGACATATTAAAAGTAAATTTGAATTATTTTGCAGTTGACTTCTTTCAGATATAGAAAATAATTTAAAATTTATGAACATTTGCTTTTAGATCGATTAACTTAAACAACGTCACTGACACAATCAATGGGTAATGAAATCAACTTTTATAGCTATAAAACATCTTAAATTAAGTTTTTAATAATAGGATTAACTTTCCTACACAATTAAGTCACCCATATGGCTCACAAAGATCTATAGTGTGTATATCATAGATTTTTAAATATTTCGAATTGATAGTGCTTGACTGATATTCCACCCAAAAAATGGAAATAAAATCTTAGGTGTTGAACGATCTCAGTATTAGCATATTCAACCTTTTCCAGGTCACAAAAATTGTTACAACACTCATATTACACTGTATACTACTGTATACTTATAATTTTATAGTGTTAGTATATACTTATATATGTACTTATAATCTTATAGTGTTAGTATATAGTATATAATATATACTTATAGTCTATGTACTTACATTCTCCAACACTCTCATACATCTATCAGCTTTTCTTAACAAATCTAGCTCGCTGTTGGTCCAATTCGCCGCTGGTGAGTCTAGACCAGCCACACAGTCTTGTATAGTCCTCACTATGTGGTCCACTCCGCCAAGATTACGAAGCTCTTCCTTGAACCATTCACCAGCTCGTTTAGATGTTAGCGATAGAAGCGTTTCCATCGCTAAGTGACCCACCTGAAATATTGTGATTATTATTTTAACATTAATCTTCTTCTACCTGGCAATTGCCCAGCTATAGCCAGGGTCTGCCTCACATGCTGTGAATTGTTTTGGCTATTTGTTTTTACGACCGGCCGCCTGCCTGACGTCAACCCTCTTTTTGAGAATCAGCATTAATCAGTGATGTCTAAATACTTTTAGAAAGTATGTACATATGACTCGAAAAAATCACATTGGTACTTGCCTGGGCCAGGATCGAACCCGCGCCCTCGTGCATGAGAGGCGGACCTTTTAACCACTAGGCCACCACTTTCTATTAATGTTATTATTTTAACATTAATGTTGAGCAAATATAAAATTTCATGATGTTATTTTCTTTAAACAATAATGGAATGCTTGTGAGTATCAATAACCAATCAATCAAACAGAGATAATCGATATTGATGTTCTTAAGGGTAGGATTTTAAGATAGTCTTTTTATTTTATATACATAATAGATTATCCTCTTACTTTAGTTTTTATTATATTAACTAACGAAATCAAGAATATTCAAGATTCTGACATTTATAATTATTAAAGTCACGTTGAACAATAATGTCTGAATCAGTTTATTAATTGCATCTTGAGGCAGTTTTTTATATGAAACATGTAACAGTTTTTGAATTTTAATACGATGCCAAGTCGAAAAACAATACAAAAATGTAGGAGTATTATTAAATTAGTCGAAAAATTGTAATGGTGACTTCAGTTGTTTAATTAGTAATAAATATGCTACTTTTTTCTTAAGATAACCAATATTAAATAGATAAATATAGTTTACAGTTATCAAAAAAAAGCAAATTTACTCACAGTAATATTTTCTAAGTCCAAATGTTTAGCTTTGCCCTTGCTCTTTATTTCCGCACATAATTCTCTAACCCTCTCCTGCGTCTTCGCGAGTTGAGCTGACGTGAGACCGCAGTCGTCAAGGGCGTTTCTGTAACACGATATTAATTGATCTATAAGTGATATTAATATAGATTTTGATATACATATTATTTAATATTCAAACGGTAAGTTCGCGTGTTCCGTAATGTTATATTTGAGGTTAAATATTTATTTTCTTTTAGTTTTTTTAGTATTTGTCTTTATAAAGCCAAAAAAATGCATCATTTGTGAAAATTACAACTGTCTTAACTATCAGTTTTAAGAGATACTTCCTTATGACAATCTAAAGGATAGCCATAATTCGATAACTTTTTTAAATTCTTATTAATAAGCTACAAAACCTTGAAAATATTCGGTGAATACTTCAAATGTAATTTTCAATTGTTCAATGTTATGGGCTAATTGTGATCTATTTGATTATAAAGACGTCATTGCTATCAATAAGTAAATTAACTATAAATAGCTCACTTGTGTGATACATCCGACTCAAGTAGATTCAACATTAGTTCGAGCGACTCACGATCCAAATCCATATTCAATCTATCTTGAGATAACACAAACATAACTGTTGCTGTACATAAACCCAAACTCTGGAAGAAAAAAACATTTGAAATTAATATTATTTGTAATTCTTACATATTGAATAAAAAAATATTAATTCAAATTGTGAAAACCAATGTTGCAAACATATATTCATCAATACAATTACCTACGATTTAATACCGTCTATAAAATTATAAAATTTCAATTAATAGTCCTTGACGTACAAATGAACTACATTTTTGTCATATAAATAGATTCGGTTAATTAAAGCTACATATTTGAAAATTTTATTATCCAGAGGGAAATTTAAGCTCAGTCGATGTTAGAAACAAAAAATATGTATATTTATAGAAAAAATATCAGCAGTTTCATTGAAGGAGTCAAGATGAAAATAAATTTAATTGAATGCATAAAAACAATATAATTTTTATTCAATTCATACTCTCCACACTTGTCTAATAATACCAGTGACTGAAGATATTCTAAAACCCTACTACATAATATTATAAATGCATAAGCAATTCTGTCTGTCTGTTACGCTTTCACGCCTAAACAACTGATTTCAATGAAATTTAGTACAGAGATAATGTTGACCTCGAAAAAGTACCTAGGATAGTTTTTATCGCAGACCTTTGAAAGGTTCTCTTGGAAATGCAATATAACCGAACTCCACGCGCGGGCGGAATGGTAGTGAGAGTATAAAACAATAAATATATCAAGAGTATACCTGATCGTTGGTAGCGTCGTGGAGCGCACTGAAGAACTTCTGTACGGTGCCGTGCGCGCGCAGGTGCATCCTGAAGGCTGGGGCCGTGCACTTGCTGGCTAGAGTGATGGCTGACAGGCAACGCGTCGACAGAGGATTGTTGTCCTTTGAAATATAATCACATATATAGTACGGTGCAGTGCGTTATGATGCGGTACGGTGCGTTACGGTACGGTACGGTACGGTGCGTTACGTTACGGTAGAGAACGAATGGTATATGGGAAATATTATTACATATAGTACGGTGCGTTGCGTTACGGTAGAGAATGAATGGTATAGAATTTCTTAAATGAACAGATTGTTGTTTTGTTAAAAAAAAAAAAGATAATCCTGTTTATAAAAGTTTCGGTACAATTCATAAATTAATAAAGTAATGTTTGTTTTTTCATACAATATGTAAAAGATTTTTTGAGAAATTCGTATACATACATATTGATGATAATATTTATATATAAACATATGTTTGCGACTTTGAGATACTTTCTTAAACGATCTAAATAGAATCTCATGTTTGTTGTCTCAATGATAAATAAAGCATTCTCAGAATATAATAAAATTAACCAATAATTTATCATATTACAGAAGTTACATTAAAATTTACAAAGCAAATGTCTTCAAATATAAGTAACCATAGTATTGGATATAATAAATTCAAGACTTAAGCTGAGAGCTTGTGATTGCAAATGTTAATGTAATTTTAAACAGGTAAAATAAATAATTTTTATTGATACATAAGTCATAAACTATAAATGGAATGGAAAGTTATTTAAATTATGAATTGTTTGAGAACAATATAAATTATGTCAAAGTTATATAATATGAATCATGATTCATGTTAAATTTTCACAAATAGACTGCCTATTTGTGATTCATTTATTATAAGTACTATAGCATTACGAGATGATATTCTTATTTATTAGAGCATTGTTTTGAACCATAAACAGCAAGAATCTCTCATTATAATTATTGTCATAAAAAAATTAAGTACAATAAGAATTAATTTAAAATGCCATCTGCTTTTTGTTATTTGCATACAATATTTATACTTTCAGAACAACTAACCTGTAGTGTGTCCAAAAAGTATTCTATATCATCATTGAATTCTTGATTTTCACCAATTTCTTGCATTTGACGAGCACACCTTGTCTTCTTAACCTTGTGTACAACGGTATCATACTGAAAAACAATAAAATTAATTAGTACAATGAAATATGATATGGTTTATACAGCTATATATATTGAAAAATTATAGTTGTGTAGATTTTTATTACTGTTACCTCCTTAGCACCTCTCATACTGCTATATGGTTTCAGTGGTTCATCTAAGGTTGGATCATCCATAGCAGAAACCCTTGAAAGGTCTTTTGAATCTGCAGCCTGATTGTTGACCTCTGAATTTTCTGATTGTTCAGGCCTTGGTGTTTCATTACCTTTCTATAAAAAAAAATGTAAAATTATGAATAAAATCATGACTTCTTCAGCTTAAATATGTGTATTATTATGTGATAGTAAAATATTTTTATAATATGTGATATATTATATTTAGTATTTATAATTTTGATATCACTATTAACAAAATTAATTAAAAAATCTATGTTAAACGATAAAGACTTTAACTTACCTCATTAGCCCATTCATGTTTGTAAAGATGACGTCTCTTTCTTGCAGGCAATGGTGAAGGATTATCATTAACCAATGATTTACTCTTAAATATTGAACCTTTCTTCTTGGTTATTACTAATTTAACACTTGGCTTGTCTTCTACGGGGGGTTCTTCAGTGTCTACTCCATGAGGGGGAACAAAAACTTCATCTTGATTTTTCTGCGGTTCATCCTCGGAGAATTCCTGTGGACAACTGTTATACGCCGAATCTGTTGATTGCTGTGTATTTAATTGGGAATCCATTGATTCGGGCATAACAGGTTCCATTGGCTGATCCTCCGCACAATGTTCTTCAGACTCCGCAGTATTTTCTTCCTGACTAGGTAATGCTTCCTGGTTATCAACAACTTCTGGACTTTGATGTTTATGTTTATTCTTTTGTTTTTTATTAAGTTTTGTTTTGGGTAATGTTTCCATCTTGCCAGTGTCGGTGTTACCCGATAATATATCAATTAAATCAGTCTGTTCAAAGTGAGATTCAGGTTCATTATCAATTCCTTGATGATTTTCTGGGGATGTTATATTTGAGGATTCTACAACGGTTTCTTGTTTCCGTCTACCCTTTTTAGCTTCTTTTTTCAAGTCACTAACAGTCCGTGTTATATGTTTACTGGGTTGTTTAGCTGACAGAGAATAAACATCATCATCATTTTCACTATAATTTATATTCGGCCTATTTCTCCTAGATCTTCCTGCGGTACTCTCAGGCGGTTTAGGCTCGGGTGTGAGTTCTTTATGATGCTTTTCAGTCTCCACAGTCTTATTTACTGTACTTGTAGAATCAAGTTGAGCCAGTTGAGACTCTATATAATCCATTTGTTTATTGTTACAAGATTCCTTGTCAGATTCACTTGTAGGTGACGCCAATGTTTTGTATAGATCATAAGTATCTGACCCAGGTAGAGGAGATGAAGCTTTCTTAGAAGATTCATCATCAGTGTTTTTATGATGTCGTTTATGAGATTTATGTTCTTTTTTGTCCTTCTTCTTCTCTTTTTTTGTCTCTTGATTAATACCAGAACATTTTATAGTTATCTTTAAACCCTCTTGTTTTGGTGAACATATTGAATCTGCAGTGGGACTCCGTTTAGCATCAGAACCAGTACTGATATCTAAATGAGTGTCCAGTGATGAATGTCTATCTGAACTAGGTGATGTCAACCCCTCATTGGAATCAGTACTTACAATTCTTGAAGTTCCTTTAGATATTCTGAGCACAATAGGTGGTGGTTTTCTTTCTTCATTTGAATCTTTACTTGTAGAAGGACTTGCAACCTCAGATTTTACGGGAGATGGGCATTTTACTAAAGGGCTAGCTTTGGGTGAAAGTGCCTTGTGAGATAATGATTCATAACGAGTCAATTCTGGTATTGGGCTATTACTTCCATCTTCGGCATAATTAATTACCTTGTCACGATTACGAACCAGATATCTTTTATTTGGTGGTTGTGAACTATCGTTTGACTGATCTTCCTTCTTGGCAGCTTTTGTTTGTAAGCCTCTTCTAGATTTTCCTTTCTCAGAGTTGCGTCTGGGTAATTCAGGTGAAGAGGAATCTCTGTTGTATCTGCCCCTTTTATTTGTCCTTTTTTCTTTAGTATTTGAGTGTTCGGGTGAGAGGGGTGCAGCACTTACCGGTGGAGCGTAAGTAATCTGTGGTACAGGTGGATATAACTCAGCATTACGAGATTTAAAAAACTTCTTAGGTTTGGGTGGAGGTTGCTCTGTTTCCACAGCGGGAACAGTCAGAGGACTGTTTTGATCCTGTATTGACTTTTTATGTATGGTACTTTGATATGCTGAAACACAAAAAAATAAATATATGTCAGTACAAATAACAACCTACTATTATTTTACTCAAAACTGTACAGTAACATCATGCCATTGAATCATTTACAAAAACTTCAGAAATGGAAGCTAAACTAAAACGAAATTGTTTACGTTTTTCAGGGCCAAACAAGAATCACTATGTATTGATGTATGATATTTACCGTAAGGGGCGCTCCTTATCGAAGTAAAACTAGTAATTCCCCACTTGCCAACCGTCCCTGCCGATCGGGCTGCTGTAGGGCAATTACTGTTTTCTCTAAATAATGCACTGTCCAGCGGCACAGCCACGCTACCGCTTCGGCCTCTGCCCCAGCGCGACATGCTGATAATTTCATTAAATACTATGACACCTGCGCCGTCTCACAAAATCAATCACTTATTTGAATGTCACAAAAATAAGTACCACATTCCGCCTTAAAAGTGCATTTCACATTAAATTTATGTTAAATATTGAATGTACACAACAATAATAGTGATTACACTTTCTCCAATAGCCATGAAAACACAACTGATGTAGATAACACACCCGCCATTTTTACAGGAGCTTACTTTCTTCACGGACGCATTCAAATAAGTTTCTATAGATAGCAATCACATATGAAGTCAAGTTTAACTTTACAACGCACTATGCAGATTAGAGCTTCGCATTTTCTTTGAACTTATGAGGTAGATGTTAATAATTGTTGACTTAAGCATTTATAATGACAAATTGGACGTTAACTACGATGTTGTCATCTCACAACACTAGCAGCGCCATATTGGTATAGCAAAACAAGGAAGCAAATAGAACCAATAAGAATTCACTATGGAATATAGACTATACCTCACTCTATTATTAGTCTCTGTTACTTTATGGCAATAGACTATAATTGATTTTCCAACAGTTTTTTAAAGGTTTAATTCAGTAAAAAACAAAAATATATTGTTTTATGATTGAGAAAGGTTTTAAAATACATAATTCAATATTTCAATATTTCAATATTTCAATATACAAACTTTAAATAAACATTGACTATTCATTTTAAGTAGATTAAGGAATTGTTACAAATAAATAAATTCAATATATCATCACTCCAGAAAAAAAAACTCCGATAATTTTTCATTCCGAAGTTTTTGACATCAGGGATCTATCAAAAACTGCAATTTATAACGATAATTTATAATTATTAACATAAAAGTTATAAAATTGAACAAAATCGTTATCTCCATTTTTTTATTATTAACAAATTGATATTTAAATAAAAATTGAAACTGTAAGATTTTCATAGTCATCCTGTTTTATTCTAATTATATAACCAAGTCAAAGAAGTGTCTAGAAAATAATACGCTATGTCATGATTTGGTTTTTTTAGGGCGTCCGCCATATTGAATGAAGATGTCAGAGTGACGTCCCTTTCCTTCCTATGCTTTTTCAACGGATATGTTTATTCAAATATTTATTCTAAGCCCTAAGGATTAATCGAGTCGAATTAATAAAATTACAAAACATACAATTATCGCATGTGATCCTTATAAAGAGTAAATTATGAGTATAATGATGAGGAAGGCAATTGTCCTTCTATCAAATTAATATATTTCCTTGCCGTTTCCATTTTATCCTTAATATTTTCTAGTTTACTAGCTTTATAAGTTTGTACTTAGTTCTTATTCGGGTAAACTATAGGCTGGTATATCTTTCTTGGATCAGTTTTGAAATTTGGTTAATTTCTAAAGAAATATTGCTTTTGTGTTGTTTTGCGGTATTGAAGCTGTTATATAAAACCATATTAGTATTTTGAACTTTGATGAATCTTGGATCTGGATTCGTTGTTTAAGTATTTTAAAATTGGATGAAATGCGATAAATAATGTAAAAGGCGATACATCTAAGTATCTACCTATACCTTATGACCTCTCCTGGGCATCGGAATTTTTACCAGCTTAAAGAAAATGAAACTGCGTTGTATCTAGTACAAGTTTCATTGAAATTTGTGTCTAACTTTCGATGACAGAAAAATAAAACTCATTTATATACCTAAGTACTTTAATACTTTGCACCTATAATTTTTTTATTCTTATATTATGGGATTGAGCGCAGATTAATGTTTAATATATTATTGTCTTTCATTTTATTTTGAAGCTGCGAAATGAAGTGACGGAGTTTGGTAAGTACGTGAAAGGGACCCTTGTATAAAGAAAGCAGCGCAGTCTTAGAATTGATCATAATTCGCTGGTGTGCCCTGTCGCTAAGAGATCCGGGGTATACCGACATCGCGGCCGAGGGCTTTCGCAGTGGTTTTAGTGAGTAGGGGCCTGCCCAGGCCGAGCCTCACACATCCCTTCCGGCCCTACCAAGGCCGGTTGGACGGCTCGTAAAAAGAGTTTCCCTGCGTCATCAAAACAAAAAAAAGAATTGATCACAATGTTTTATAAAATTTTGCTTACAATGTTGGATTGTCTCAATGAATTACTATCCCATTCCTCTGAGAAGCAATTCGGCTAAATCGTATTAAATATTTTTTAAGAAGGTTCTTAAATTAGATTAAATTACATTCGATAAAAAAAAGAGAGTACATAAATCTTTAGCTATTCTTAGCGAGAATATAATTGTTATAAAAAAAGTTGGAGGCGTAATCAGCAAAAGATGAAAACAGCCTAGTATTGAAAATAGTACTTAAGCTCAATAGTTGTCATTAACTAACAATTGGTGGTCCGATTGTGTAGCCTTTGAACCATTTGCATAGCTGTCATATTGGGTTTGGGGTTGGGTCCTGTTTAGGAGTGGTGATGCGATATCTGCCTGAATGCCATTCAGCGACATGTTAGGTACAACGAAGAGCTATGACAAATTTTTCTCCAAATTTGATAACAGAAGAACAACGTTTTCTGCATTAGAGAAGAACCTGGGCCGTGATACAACATCTCGATTTGGATAACTTAATTTTGAGCATGAAACACCGATGCCGAAATTTAATTAATGTCAGGAGAGGAAATTATTTACTTTAATTAAAACTTTTTTTGGAATGTTATGACTTTAATTTTCAAATTTTCCTATATAAAATCCATTATGTACAAAGTAAAAATTACACCTAAAAATAAAATCACAAAAAAAATTAATTAAATTTTTTTGATACATCTATTTTTATATATTGCAAGTGTAAACCATAATATAAACTTCGATTTCATATATAATTGATTTAAAAATATATTTATACAGAATTTCATATACTAAGGTAAAAATTAAATATAATGTTGATGTGTGTATATTGAACTTTGTTTTCGTAACGTCGGAAGAAATACTGAGTACAATAAGTATCTACAATAATAATTAAAGTTTATTGTCCGTTTGAGACCTGAGACTTCATATTAACAACTTTCTACTAAACTCATATTATGAATGTGAATACGAAACAAACATGAACATTTTTGTTGTCCATTTGTATGTCTCTTTTTCAAATAATCTTAAGAATAGTTGGATTGATTTTACGGAGAATTTCACTAACCGGTACGTAGAGTCGTAAGATCCAATGTGAGTAATTTTGAATCAATTTCAAGAAGGAAGAAGTCCTCAATTCGACTCTATGTTTATTATCATTTTTATTACTTCTGCAATTAAAGTGCGATTTTTTAAATAATTTTTTGATTAAATTTACATTGTCCTAAAATAGTGCCATGCAGTCAAGTCACGATCTGATGTTTGGGTCCTCCAGAAATCGAATGAAAATTCATAAGGATGATGACGCGTATTTAAAAGTAGTTTCGATGTGCAAGCGAAGTCGCAGGCAATAACTACTAAGTAATAAAACATAAACAGGAACAAAATGTTTTATGATATTATTCGTATTATTATTTTCATCTTCGATGCCATTACAATCAGATTAAAGTTTTATTACATTAGTGCTTCCTTAATTTTGTGATAAAAACTTTGCTTTTTATAATTGACTAGTTTTTGCCCGCGACTTCGTCCGCGTTAATTTCGTCATTAATAAATATGTATAGTTAACCGGGCGAACTCTATTCCGTCTTAAATAACCAGGTATTGGTATTTATTAAATTTTTCCTGTTTCAATCAAACAGAATGATTGACATATTAGTTAGTTAACAAATCTAACTTCAAAAAAACGTTTGTATGGGAAATAGAAAAGGGCTGTTTTTGTGGTTTTCCCAATAGTGAATCAATTTCTTTAAGCGTTTATACCTTCCCTGAACCTTTACGAACATTTCAAGACTAAGATAAGATAAATCCGTTCAGTTGTTCTCGAGTTTTAGCGAGACTAAGGAACAGCAATCCATTTTTATATATATAGAAGATTATTATCTATATTACTTGATTATATTTATTTATAATATCAATAAAAAAACGTTTATTTACAAATTTTCGAATATGCTGGACACATTCACAATGGAGCACAAAAAAAGCATACCTACACAACTTACATAGGTATACTATAAGATAAGTATCGGCAGGTAGGTACTACAAAAAATGATAATTTTAAAAAATACATATTTATAAATATTTTTTGTCAAATATATATAAGTTTAAACGATTTAATTTGGTACGACTTTTACGATGATAAGCTCCTATCAAAACGTGAAATCAAAAATATAACTGAAAAAGATATATTATTTACAAGGGGCATATCAATTTAATGTCTTGTTGATTGCTTTTAAAATTCTACAGTACCTATATACCTAATTTGAACACTTTAAATAACTTCGAATTTAAAAATTAAATCTAATGGATATATATTTAATTACTCATAATATTAGGGGCCTTTGTAAACTAGATTTTACTTGAACACAAATTCTAAATGCGTCTTATACCTCAGAGTAATAAAAAATACCCAAATCCAATATTCTTTGTCATAAAATTTATATCCGTAAGGACCATTGTAGGCAGAGAGCATTATGCACGTCATGCAATTTTCTTTCCGATCTTTATCCCCATTTTTATGGTCGTCTACTTGAGTAATGAAAAACTATTAAAGTGTTTGTGTGGGGATAAAACGAGGGTCGTTGAGACCTTCTAACTTTTATTGCATCCCGGCGAATGGTGGACCGACATTTTTACTACCGCGCCAATTTCAGACATGGCTAGAAATGCAGACCCGCGTTTTTATGGTAAGTATATAAGGATATTTTTTGCAAAATATAATTATATCTTCTTATTCATATTACATTATATTCGCATTGTTTCTATTTATCAGTTTTCTTTGTATTATTTCCTGTTTAATGACTTACTTTTATATATATATCTAAAACTATTCCAGACCAAAAAGGGTTGTAGTCTAGTACCTACTAGATTGATTAATTTATAGCTTGCTTATAGCTATCAAAAAAAAT